TTGTTATTCATTTCAGTGAAAATTTACAGAGGCTTTGGATTTCCATTCATTCATTGTTGTAGATTTGTCCCCTCCCAAGGCTCCCCTCCACCAGACAGTCCTTGACCTTCTGCAGCAAGTATTTCAGGTCCTCTTCAGTTTCAGCAAGCAGGGTTCTGTCATCTGCATAAGGCAGGTTGTTGATGAGTCTTCCTCTAATCCTGATACCACATTCCTCCTCATGGAGTCAGCCTCCTGGATGATCCACTCTGCATATAGATTGAAAAATATATGGAGATAGGATACATCCCTGGTGTACACCTTCCCAATTTTGAACCATGCAGTGTTTTCTTGCTCTGCTTCAATGACTGGGCCAAGTATAGTTTTTGTATAGGTACAATCAAATGTTCTGGGATTCCCATTCTTCTCAGAGTTAGCCAGTTTGTTGTGATCCACACAGTAAAATGCCTCTGCATAATCAATGAAACTCAAGTAGACATTCCTCTGGTTCTCTCGGCTTTCAGCCAAGATCCATCTAACATTAGCTGCCTAAAGCAAGCCTGCACATCTGACAGTTCTCTGTTGATGTACTCTTCCAGTCGTTTTTGGATCATTTTCAGCAGAATCTTGTTTGCATGTGATATTAATGATATTGTTTGATAATTTCCATAGTCTTTTGGGTCACCTTTCTTTGGAATGGTAACAAATATAGATCTCCTCCAGTCAGATGACCAGGTGGTTGTTTTCCATATTTCTTGATACAACTTGATGAGTGCATCCAGGACAGCATGTTTCTTGAAGTTTGTCAATTGGTATGCCATCAATTTTTGAGGCCTTGTTTTTACCAATTCTTTTGGAGCAGCTTGAAGTTCTTCCTTCATCACCACAGGCTACTTACTGCTCATACATTGTTTCAAGAAATTCTTCTTTGTAAGCCAATTTCTTTTGGTACAGTGACTCTGCACGCTCCTTCCATCTTCTTTTATGCTTTGGGAAGAATATTAAATTATCCAGGAAGGACCAAATGATGGGCCTGCAAAATACATAAAACAACTGTTAACAGAATTGAAGAAAGAAATTGACAATACCACAATAGTGGTAGGAGGCTTCAACACACCACTCTTGCCAAAGTATAGGTCATTAAAAAGAAATTTAACAAAGATGCAGAAGACCTAAACTACACAGTCAGGCAACTCGACATTATGGATGTATTCTGAGCACTGCACCCAACTAAAACTCAATTCACTTTTTTCTCAAGTGCACATGGTATATTTTCCAGAATTGATCACATATTAGAGCACAAAGCAAGTATCAAATAAAAAAAAATAATGCAAGTATCTTCTCAGACCACAATGCCATAAAACTAGAAATTAACTACAAGAGGATAAACCTTTTAAAGTCACCAACATGGAAGCTAAATAACACCCTTCTAGAACACAACTGGGTTATAGAAGAAATTAAGAATGAAATTAAAAAGTTTCTTGAAACAAATGATAATGAACACAAAAACCTCAGGGATGCAGTTAAGGCAGTTCTCAGGGGGCAATTCATAGCAATATGCAAACACATAAAAAACAAAGAAGGAAGCAAATTAATGAACTAACTCAATACCTTCATCACACAGAAAAAGAACAACAATCTAACTCAACAATCTGTGGAATAAAGGAAATTATAAGAACAAGAGCTGACTGTTTGCATGGCTGCACACTTCCATCATGGAGGAGTACACACGTGAGCCTTGGGGGGTTGGACCTTGGTTGAGAAATAGTGTCAGCGCTGTGAGGATTTGAGCCCCCCAGGTTGGAGGCAACTTTGCAGTGTGAGGTGTTCTGTCCTCTACAATTGATTGTGGCTTGGTATGGCTTTGGGGCAAGGAGGATCCCTGGAACTCCATCACCAGTGGAGCATTGACTGGTGCTGTACTGGCAGCCCAAAGTGGCCCACTAGCCATGGTAGGCTCAGCGATAATGGGGAGGGGGGCATCCTGTTGGCCCTCATCACAGCTGTTGGCATCCTTCTCACTCGCTATACAGCCCAGCAGTTCTGCAAAGTGTTCCATTCCTGGAGGACTGCAGCCAACTGCCCCCTAAGGAGGGTGCCCCAGCCCCAGGCTATTCCAGCTACCAGCAATACTACTGAGGAAGGGATCACCTAGTGCATCTGTGAGAGACCCTCTTCAGTTCCCTCCCTTATGATATACCTCAAAGGAAAGGCTAAATCCCAGATGGCCCCAGAACCTTCTGCTTGCTCCCTTGTCCACTTAGGAATGGGGCACCTCAGCTGCCCTAATGGATAGGGCCCCCCTTTTCTCTCTCAGGGCACCCCAGCCCCACATTTATGTGTAAAAAGTTCTCACCACAAAGCCCTTGGTGTGGTTCCTTGAAGAGTATTTAAAGCCAATTTTGAAATGCAAAAAAAAAAACCCCAAAAAAAATCCCACACACAAAAATCTTCGAGAGCTGAAATCAATGAGATAGAAAACAGCAAATAAATTGAAACTATTAATAAGACCAGGTGCTGTTGTGTTTTTTTAAGGGTCAATAAAATTGACAAACCATTGGCAAACTAAAGGGGGGGAAGAAAAGAAAAGTAATTATAATTAATTATTAATTAATAAATGATAGAGGTGACATTACAACAGATCCAGGGGAAATGATAATAACAGGATATGATGAAAAGTTATACCCTGATAAATTTGAAAACTCAGAGGAAATGGACAAATTCATTGAAACTCATGCCCTATGCAGATTGACACTATCAAATGTAGAAAACTTGAACAGACCCATCACAAGAGAAAAAATTGAACAGGTCATAAAAAGCACTCCCACAGAAAGTTCTGGACCACAAGGCTTCACAGCAGAACTCTTCCAAACATTCAGAGAAGATATATCACCAATTCTACTTATTTTTTAAAAATAAAAAAGAGGGACAACTCCCAGAGACATTATATGAAGCAAGCATAATCCTAATACAAATGTAGTACCAAGAAGAAAACTACAAACAATATTTCACATGAAGATAAAGACAAAATTTCTTAGCAAAATCTTACCCAATAAGATCCAAAAGGACATAAAAATACTTCACCATATCTAAATAGGATTCATAAGAAGTATGCAAGGATGAGTCAACATGAGAAAAACAACCAACGAAGTTCCCCACAATAACAAAGAAAATTAAAAAAAAAATCATATGATCCTACCAATTGATGCAGAAAAGTAATTTGGCAAAATGAAACACCCTTTCCTGATTAAGATGCTCAGCAAGACAAGAGTGAAATTGGAACAGGGAGCAACGCCAGGAAGTGGCCCACCAGGGTGCATACCTCCAGGGAGGGGCCAGACAGCTGTAATTTGAGTCAGGTCCCCGCATGTGCCCAATCGGCAAGAGACTGTGTGAGTGTGCTTGCCCAGCATGTGTCTACATGCATGCCCCCCCTGTGCCTGTGCCTGTGCCTGCCCGACATCCATGACCACCCTGAGTGCATGCAATCCCTGTGCCCATGCTCTCTTCACTCTGCCTTGCATCTCCTCATGTCCTCTGTTAACTGCTTTTAGAATGGAAAGTCTTGGTCTACAACAGTTATAAGAAGAGGCTGCTTTCACAGCCTCTGAATGGAAACTTCCCTTGGGTCAGAAGTTCAGAGAGAAACACAGGCAGAGTAACTTCCCACCCTCTTCTAGAGCAGTGACTTCAGACCAAGAACCTATCATGGCCTCAGGCATGAAAAACTCTACCACAGCAGTGTCATTTAGGAAGCAGGCAATCTCACATCCTACACAAGTCTACACAGTGTTCTCTGCAGGCACGGGTTGGGTGAGATGTATGTGTGGACCTTGGGAGGGGTTGTGGTAACCCTGGTGTATTTGGTGACTGTTCTCTACAAGACCTGGGGTGTGCTGTGTTATGATAACGTTCTCTGCATCCTATGTGTGTGTGTGTGTAATGACTGTGTTCTCTGCAGACATGGGAGTGTGTGTAGTGAAAGCATTATCTGCACACATGAGTGTGTGTGTGTGTGTGTGTGTGTGTGGTGTGTACAGTGTTCTTGCAGAAATGTGTGTGGCGGGGTGTGTGTTGTGACAGTGTTCTGTACAGATCTTGATGTGTGTGTGGTGACAGTGTTCTCTGCAGACATGGGAGTGTTTGTGGGGAAAGACATTTCTGCAGACGTATGTGTGTATGTATGTGTGTGTTTTGACAATGTTCTCTGTAGATCGAGGTTGTCTATGTGGTGAGATGTTCTCTGCAGACATGGGTGGTGTGGCGAGTGTGTGGTGACAGTGTTCTCTGAAGTCGTTGTATGTGGCGACAGTGTTCTCTGCAGACCAGGGTGTTTGTGTGTGTGTGGTGACAGTGTTCTCTGCAGTTCTCTCTGTGTGTGTGGTGACAGTGTCCTTCGCAGACCTGGGTGTGTGAATGTGTGGTGACAATGTTCTCCGTATATATGGGTGCAGTGGTGTGTGTTGTGACAGTATTCAATGCAGATCTGTGTGAGTGTGTGTGTGTGTGTATGAGAGAGAGAGAGGGAGAGAGAGAGAGAGAAGGGCGGGGAAGAGAGAGATGACATTGTTCTTGGGAGACAAGGGAGTGTGTGGTGAAAGCATTCTCTGTAGACATGAACGTGTGTGTGCGTGCACGTGTGTGTGTGGTGACAGTGTTCTCACAGTGTTCTCTGCATATCTGGGAGTGTGTGTGTGGTGATAGTGTTCTCTGAAGTTGTGGGTTGTGTGTGGTAACAGTGTTTTGCAGGCCATTGGGGGCTGACAGTGTTCTCTGCAGTCCTGAGTATGTGTGTGGTGACAGTGTTCTCAGCAAACCTGGGTGTGTGTGTGTGTGTATCTGTGTGTGTCTTTGTGTGTCTGTGTGTGTGTGTGTGTGTGTGTGTGTGTGGCTG